TTAAATAGGGTGGTCAGGGAAGAAGAGCTCCCTTTTTACGACATCTGATCAAAAAACTTATTGATGATGTGAAAGAGCAGACCTGAGGAAGTCTGGGCAATGCTGTTCGGAGCACCAGGAACAGTGAATAACGAAGTCCTTGAGGGAGTAATGAGCTTGTAGTGTTAAAAGAACAAACAGATCAATGTGGCTAAAGAAGAGCAAAGAGAAGACTGGTAATGAGATGGTGAAGCACTTAAGCAGGGGCCAAATACAGGACTTTATAGGTCAGTGAGCAGTTCAGATGCTTTGTAGAGGGCGACGTGAAAAGATCTCTCTAAGCTGCTCTGCAAACTGTAGGAAGAACTGGAGCTAGGGCAACTGCAATACTCTAGAAAAGATGATAGTGGGGTATACTGTGGTGGTTGAGATAAGCATAAATGGCTGGATTTCAGACATGTTTTGAAAGGCAGAACTGACAGGCTGGCAGATAGACTGAGTAAAGGCTGTAAGAGAAGAATCAAAGATGGCTTTTGGGTTTTTGGCTTAAGCAACTGAATGAATGAATGGTGGAGACATTGCTTGTTTGCTGAAGGCAAGACTGGAGGAGGGGCATGTTCAAGGGGAGAAATTGAGTTTTTTGAAGATGAATATGCACATTAAACTATTCATAAAATTGTCACTGCCCTCCAAAAAGGTCGTATCAATTTATCCTCTTACCAACAATGTATAAACATGCCTATATCCTAATATTTTTAAAAGATTTTATTTATTTTTTAGAGGGGAAGGGAGGGAGAGAGAAACATCAATGTGCAAGAGAGACACTGATTAGCTGTTCTTTGCATGTCCCTAACTGGGGACCTGGCACACAGCCCAGGCATGTGCCCTGAGCGGGAATCGAACCCATACCCCCTTCATTCACAGGCCAGCACTCAATCCACTGACCCACATCTGCCAGGACTATACTCCTATATATATGTATATATATATTTACTTTATTCATTGATTTTTTAGAAAGAGAGGGAGGAAGAGGGAAAGGGGGGCATCAATTTGTTGTTCCAATTATTCATGCATTCATTGGTTTATTCTTCTATGTGCCCTGACTGGGGATTGAACCTGCAACCTTGGTGTACAGGGACAACACTTTAACCAACTGAACTACCCAGCCCAGGGCCTACATCCCAATATTTTTGCCATCAGGAAAAAAATTTTTATTTTTAATTTGCATGGGTTTTTTTTACAGATTGTATTTATTTATCTTCAGAGGGGGAAGGGAAAGAGAGAGGGAGAGAAATATCAATGTATGGTGGCCTCTCCCGCATTCTCTGCTGGGAACTGGCCTGCAACCCAGGCATGTGCCCTGACTGGGAATTGAACTGCAATCCTTTGGTTAACAAGACCGTGCTCAATCCACTGGGTCACACCAGCCAGGGCTTAATTTGCATGTTTTTATTAGTAAAATGAATCTTATTTTTCTTTAAATCCTCACCTGAGAATATGTTTATTGATTTTAGAGAGAGACATTTATTGATTGCCTCCCATACCCATCCTGGGTATAAAACCCACCAGGAATAAAGCCCACAACCTAGGAATGTGCCTTGACTGAAAACCAAACCCTCAACCTTTTGATGTACTGGATGATGCTCGAACCAACTGAGACACCAACTGCTCAGCCAGGGTAATGTTTTTATTGGCCATTTGTACTACTTTTGTGAACTGCCTATTCATATCTTTTACCCATTTTTCTAGTAGAGGTGTGCCTTCCTTACTGATATTTAAGTGTTTCTTGTATACTAAGAAGTCTAATCTTGTCTCTCATATTGCAAATATCTGTTTTTTAGCTACCCGTGGTGTCTCTGATAAAGACAAGTGGCTGTTATTTTTACACTCAATAAAATGTACCTATAATTAATTCATTATTATTAAGGGTTTCTATCCCCAGTATCAGCCTTCTGTATTTTTTTAGTGCTTTAATTTTATTTCTACATTTAAACCTTAACTCCATCAGGAATTTATTCTGTGCTTTGGTGTAAATTCAGGAGGTTCTAACTCCAGACACAAATTTCACAGAGCTGAGCCTTCTCCTCCAGCACAACCGTCTCCATCCACAAACAGCCATTAAACTCCATTCTCTCCATCTAACTGGCTACCCCCACTTCACTCCACAAAAAGAGTCCACTCCACAAAAGGAGTACAAGTCACCAACAGCTCTCCTCTAGAACTATCTTCCTCCCTGGTCTCTCCGCCGTCCATGCTTAGAACCAGCTGGTTCTTCACAGGGCACCAAAAGCAGTTTTTGCGGTGTGTTTTTCAAATGTAAAATTGATGTCACTCTCCTGCTTACAATTTCCATTGGCTTCCTAAAGAAATAAAATTAAATCCAGACTCTTAGCATTTTTTACAATACCCCACCTGGTCTCCCCCACCTCATGCTTAGCCAGCCCATCTGGATAATATTTGCCTTCTCACCCACTGAATCCCAGACACAATGGCCTAATTTCAGGCCCTGGGACACAAGTTCATTCACTCCTTAGGCCTAGATGACTACTAGCTGCTTCTCCTAATTCGGGTAATGCCATCTCCTCAGACAGGCCTTCCTAGACCCTGACATACCTCATCTAAAGCAGCTTCACCTCAATGACTCTCCGTTGCATTACAGTTTGTCTTTATTTAAGGCAATTGCCATTGACTAAATTATCTTGTTCATTTATTTGCATGTTTTTTTGTGTGTACGTCTCCTCTGCCCCTTCCCAATTCAAGTACTCTAAAAGGCAGGGTCCTTGTTCTTGTTCAGCTTTCTTCCAGTGTCTGTTGTGTCTGTCACATAGCAGGTGCTCAATTAATATTTGTAGACAGGAGAGGGAAAATCTGGGGGTCCGCTTATCTAAACTTGCGAAGGGCTCCTAGGACTCATCTGACTTCGTTTAACGTCGGTATCTCTGCGTTGTGGTGCCAGGCACCCTTCTCACCCTCTAGCTTCACCTGTGGCCAGGCTCGCACCCTGGCAAATTTAACTCTGGGAAGCCGCGAAGCTGGACCCCGCATTGCCTTGGCGCTGCTAACCCATCCCCACTGCCTGTCACCATGGGCAGAGAGAAGCACCAAGTTTCCGCAGCCAATGTCAAACCCCGCGCGCTGCGCGAGAAAGAGGAACAGTGCGAGGACAGAGCCGCTTACCAGTTCATCCGGACTCAGAATTCCGAACTGCACTCTCTTGATGGTGCGCAGCGGGCATGCGCTGTCCCCGGAGGGGGGGCCTCCCCCGTGCATCGCGGAGGCAGGCGCGCTGCGCAGGCGCAAACCTCAGTACAAAAAGCCTGCGCCGCCTCCGCCTAAGTGCTCAGACCCCGTCGGGGCGGCCACCGGGAAGGACCTTCCCTAAGCTGGGAGGAAAAAGCCAGAGGAAGGAAAGGTGGGGGAGGGAAGGAGGCGGGGAAATAAAAAAGAGCGAAAGGAATTTTCCTCCCCCTTTCCGGAGATTTTTCGTCTCTCAAAAAGAAAAAAAAGAGGAGGGGGAAGGAAAAGGTTTGGGAGGGGGGAGAAGAAAAGGGGTAACGAATAAATAATTAACCGGGATCCAGAACGGCAGAGGTTACGGCAGTTTGTCTCTCCCCCTCCCGGGAACCACTTCTTCTCCAACCGTCCCGACCGCGCTCTCGGCGCTTCTGAGAAGCGAACTGACCGAATGACGCCTTTTATAGATTCGCCCCTGCATCTCCGCCCCTTCCTTTCCCGCCCTCCCTTGCGCTACGGGGTTGCTCGCGCTGGCCTGCACGGGACGCGCGCTCCAGTCGTTGCTCCTCCCTTCCCGACTCTCCGGTTGAGCGACCTTTTGAAATGACAGAGGGGAGGGAAGTTTTATTTCTCCACCTCTTCGAGCTGCTCACTCCCGCACTGAGATTTAAGGTTCGGAGAATAGAAAGTAAATATAGGACGCTTTTACTCCATTTTGGAGTGTGTTTTTCAGCAAAAGTTTGTCATTACTGTTCTCCCCCCCTCTGGAAAATGGTCTGTTCTGAGAATCGGTAATGAAGAAGGCGGGGCGAGTCTGGTCCTCCCGAGTAGGTCCCCGGAGGGGGCAGTGCTGGGACCGTCCTTAGTCATGAATATGCAGTATTATCACTGAATATACATGAGTAAATCAAGATGGCGAGGCCAATTACTTGTCCGGAAGTAGGTATTAGTCGAGAGGCCTCCTGGAATGGGTGGGTATTTCTCGCCTCTAATGTATCCCAGTATAGAACTCAGTTTCTGGATCACCGGCCTGAGACGCTCAAACAGATCTCTGCTCAGAAGAAAGGAAGGATCTCTCTCAGAGACAGCTTACGGAACGAGGCCAGCAGCTGTCTGGGAGAGAGATCATGGGCCCGGGCAGGACACAGGCCCTGGGGGATTCAGGGTCAAGGCATCTGAACTTCAGGGAATCCTCCTTCTCCTAGAATATTTCAGAAAAAAATATTGGGGTGGGGGGATGGACTTCCAATATCTTTCCAAAGCAGAGATGAACACAAACTGCGCAGCCACGTTCAGAGTGATCCTTGTTTGACGTCAATGTCACGTCACCACCCCAAGTTGTGGGGGAGGCCCAGCCACCAGGAAACGAAACCTCAGTCAGGGGAAAAAAGGCACACTCCCTTCCCCCAGCGCAGCAGCTTGCCCTGTCTGTTTGCCTGAAATCCCCAAACATTCCAGTCCCAATGATCTTGTTGCTGAGGAAAAAAATCTTCCCAAGGCTCATGGCCTGGCTGCCTCCGCTCCTTGTATCTGCTCCTCAGAACTTAAACTTTCGTTATGCCCTGACCCTCTAGCCACAGCCTAGATTCCATATCTCTTGGTCCCCAGGTTTGTTCCAGGTCTTCCAGGCAGTCCTTTTCTACCAAGTCCTCACATTACCCTTGGCTCCAAGGGGCATTTCTCTCCCACACCAGTTCTTTTCAAATCATTTGTTCTCCCATGTTTTTATTTCAGTTTCTATTTCTCCTGGAATCCCCCAACCTCAACCCCCAGCCTCTAAGTCAATCTCACTCCTCCACCTGCCCTTCCCTCTCATAACTGAGGTTGTGGGTGGTGATGATGGCAACGTTGCCCAATACAACCACTGCCCTGATAATGTCACAAGGTCACACAGTCTCAGGGAGCACATAATTCTACAGCATCAGGGCTGCCACCACCACCTCAGAGTGCAGGATGACACACCCCAAAACAAGATGGCCCTTGGTGACCACATAACACACAAAGGAGACGAGAGCTAGATCACCACTGCCCCCACACAGCTCCAACTCAGAGGATCATTGGGCAGCATGGGGATCTGCAGCAGAAAGAAGCTTGGTATAGAGCCCACCAGCCCCACCAAAAGCCAAACCGGAAAGCCACTGTTAGTAGGCAGGGGAGATCCAAGGAAAGATATACCAGAAGCCAAGAGCAATGTCTGGCCATCAGGAAAAGTGAGCGCGTAGCCCTGGGCAGTGTAGAGGCCCTTGGTCTCCTTCTGTAGTGTCCCTAGTCTAGGTTCCATGATGATGATTAGTCCCATAGCTCTGCTCAACAGGCCACACCAGTCTTAGTGACTGAGACCTGGCCCTTGAGACAGAGGGCAAGGAGAGCAGAGCAGATGGTGGAAGAACCTTTGAGAAAATGGCAGCATTGCCAGCAGGCATCACCTGAACTGCACCATAGGCACATTCAATGCTGAAGACACAGTAAAGAGGCCATGGAGGCAGGCCCAATCCTGGACATCCAAAGGTTCCAACAGTAAGTCACCATGCAGTTGAAGCAGTGAGGCAATGGGGAGGTGCAAGAGGCATTAACAGATGAGCAACTTCAGCAAGGATAAGTGGGAAGTCTGGTAAACCAGCTGGGAGAAGGGGCCCATGAAGCTGTCGGGTGGGCGCCCACCCAGCAGGGCTACAAGCAGACCCTTGGTGGCAGTGCTGGTGACAGGGGAGGATGTGTTAACAGTGGGGAAAAACAGCCCAGAATTTTTAACATTGTTTCTGTAACTGCTGACTAATATGTATGTAGCTTTTAGATGAATAGCATATTTGTGTAAGAATGCTAGAAACAAACTTCAAAAGATACAGACTCTGACCTTCAGGCAATCCAGCTCCTACGATTCTTCCTGCTCTCCCTCTCAAGGCATCAGCCACCTCGAAATGCTTTGCTGGTGAAAGCAAACAGGTATTTAAGGACAGACTCCAAACTGGATAAGTCCCTGGTGTACACAGCTAGGAGCCCCTGCCCCACCGCTTGGGTTCTTTGAACCATTTGGGATTCCACAGGAATTAATAGTTGCCACTGGGTGCTAGACACGGATCAGTGATGAGAAAAATCACAGTTCCCCAATGTGGGATTTGGTTGGAGTGCTCTTATGGTTTTGGTACATGGACTTTGGGTATTGTTTGCCTTTCTTGTTGTATACTGCTCTTTTGTTTGTTTTTTTGTGTGTGTGCTTTTTATTTTTTCTTTATTTTTTGAATGGTTAAAAGTATTTTTATAAATAATTTTCCTAAGCTGAAGACTTTTATTTATTTTTAAAATAGAGAGGGGAGAAAGAGGTAGAAGAGAGAGAGAAACATCAAATTGTGGCTGCCTCTTGTGTGGCGTGGGGGACCTGGCCTGCAACCCAGGCATGTGACCTGACTAGGAATTGAACCAGCGATCTTTGGGTCGCTGACTGGCACTTAGTCCACTGAACCACACCAGCCAGGGCAGTAAAAAATTATTTTATTGTATCTTTTCCATTAACATTTATCCTCCCTATACCTCCTCCCCCAGCAATCACCACCTGTTGTCAATATCCATGAGTATGTTTTCCTTTTGCTCAACCTGTCCACCCTCTACCCTCACCCCCACAGCTGTCATCCTGCTCTCTATGAGTTTGTTTCTGTTTTGCTTGTTAGTTCAGTTGGTCCATTAGGTTCCACATATGAGTGAAATCATATGGTATTTGTCTTTCTCTGATTGGCTTATTTCACTTAACATAATATTCTCTAGGTCTACCCATGCTGTTACAAAGGATAACATTTTCTTTTTTATGGCTGAGTAGTACTCCATTGTGGAAATGTCGCATAGTTGTTTTATCCACTCATCTACTGACAGACACTTCCGTATCTTGGCAGCATATTGCTTATTAATTATCTGTTAGTTTTGTTTCTCTGTTCTTCCACGGGAGGAAGTCAGTTTCTGTTTCATATGGCTCTTGTCTGTCTGAAATGACACTTTGGTTCTCTCATCTGTCTGAAATGAAAACTTTGATTACAGTTGTTCTTTGCTTGCTTCCTTATCATTTGGGGACTTGTTTTGGTCTTTGCTATTTTGTACACACTGAGAATCTTTTGTCTCCTCTGTTTGGACATTGTGCCACTTTGGACCTTGTCAAGGATGTTTGTGGTACCAGTTTGTATGACATAAGATTCCAAGACTAGTCTTGGTCCCTCCTTTTAGAGGATTTAGAGGTTTGAAAGTATTTGTTTGAACTTTGCTTTAGATTTTGTTTTGTTTGTGTTTTGAAAGATGCCGCTCAGGCCCTGGCTGGTGTGGCTTAATGGATTGAGCACTTGCCTGAGAAACAAAAGGTCACCACTTCAGTTCCCAGTCAGGGCGCATGCCTGAGTTGCAGGCCAGGTCCTCAGTTGGGGGCATGTGAGAGACAACCCATTGATTGATGTTTTTCTGGCACATCGATCTTTCCCTCCATCTCTTTTTCCCTCGCTTTCCCTCTCTCTAAAAATAAATAAATAAAATCTTGGAAAGGAAAGAAAGAAAGGGGGGGAAGGAAGGGAGGGGCTTAGTCTCAATCCCATCAGCAAATCCATTAGGTCACTTTTTTAAAAAAAAGACTTTATTTATTATTAGATAAAGGGAGAGAAAAAGAGAAAGACAGAAACACCAACATATGGTTGCCTCTCATGTGTTCCCACTGGGGACCTGACCTGGCCCACGACCCAGGCATGTCTGGGAATCGAACTGGCAACCCTTTGGTTCACAGGCTGGTGCTCAGTCCACTGAGCCACACCAGCCAGAGCAAGTCACATTTTATACTAAAATTGTTTTGCCAAAGTTCTGGTAAATAGGATAAGATCTCTTACCTGCAAGCTTTCATATTGGCACATTATGAGGATTCTACTCAGAAAGAATTTAAACTTGTGGTTCAAAGAGGGGGTAAAGATCTCAGCGTCCTTGCAGACAGTAAAACCCAGAGAGAGAAAAAAATGAGACAATGAGTCTTTTGAACATCCTAAATCCTTCTCCTAGAAGTCTGAAAGCTGCAGCAGTTCAGGGAATAATGGGGAAATTAATGCCACCCTCAAAACCTGTTCAGGCTGTGGGAACAGCAGGGGCAACTGCCTCACCTCAATGTAAAGGAAAAAAAACTGGCATTAAAAAAAAAATTGAAGCTGTGCCAAACCTGCTATCACCCCCACCTCTTTTTCAGTCTCTAAAAAGTTGTCAAGGTCACTAGATAATGAAACCACTCACTTTTGAGCATGCTAAAGGAATGCAGTAATTACTGAGTATCCAAATGTGTAATTCAAGTTTAATTGACATCTTTTAAGGTTATTAACATAAAATATATTTGTTTTCTTCCTGGGTTTACAAAAAAGTTTATGTTATCTCTATTATGCCTCTTAAAACGTAAATGCATTTGCCAGCAGGAAAAAACTGTTTATGAAATTATAAAATGTATTAAAAAATTTCCCAATCCAAAGAATGCTAATTACTTTTAGTTGTCACTAAAAATTGAAAATTCTAATTAAGTTGGGAAAGAATATATGGTTTTGGTAATAAAAGGTGTAAGTCATGGCAATATATTTTTAAATATTTTATTTATTTATTTTCAGAGAGATGGGAAGGTAAGGAGAAAGACAGGGAAAGAAACATGAATGTGTGGTTGCCTCTCATGTGTCCCCCACTCGGAACTGGCCTGCAACCCAGGCATGTGTCCTGACTGGGAATTGAACCGTGATCCCATGGTTCACAGGCCCGCGCTCAATCCACTGAGCTACACCAGCCAGGGCATGGCAATATTTTTTTAAGAAAATAGAATTGAGCCCTGGCTGGTGTAGCTCAGTGGATTGAGCACAGGCCTGTGAAGCAAAGGGTCGCTGGTTCAATTCCCAGTCAGGGCACATGCCTGGGTTACAGGCTAGGTCCCCAGTAGGGGACACATGAGAGGTAACCACACATTGATGTTTCTCTCCTACTCTTTCTCCTTCCCTTCCCCTCTCTCTGAAAATAAATAAATAAAATATTTTTTAAAAAAGAAAATAGACTTGAAAGTGGGTTGCTCTAAAATTGGTTATTTCTGCCTGGCTGGTGTAGCTCAGTGGATTGAGCGCTGGTCTGTGAGCCAGAGAGTTGCCAGTTCAATTCCTGGTCAAGGCACATGTCTGAGTTGCAGACCAGGTCAGGTGCCCAGTAGGGGGCGCGCTGGAGGCAACCATACATTGATGTTTCTCTTCCTCTCCTTCTCCCTCCTTTCTTTCCCCTCTTTCTAAAAATAAATAAATGAATTGAACAATGATTTTTTAAAGGAACAAATAAAATAAAATAAAATAAAATAAAATAAAATAAAATAAAATAAAATAAAATAAAATAAAATAAAATAAAATAAAATAAAATAAAATAAAATAAAATAAAATAAAATAAAATGTTGGTTATTTCTATCTTTTTTAAAGATCGTATTTATTTTTCCCTGGCTGATGTGGCTCAGAGGATTGAGTACTGGCCTGTGAACCAAAAGGTCATGGGTTCGATTCCCAGTTAGGGCACATGCCTGGGTTGAGGGCCAGGTCCCCAGTGGGGGGTGCATGGAGAGGCAAACACACGTTGATGTTTCTCTCTCTCTTTCTCACTCCCTTCACCTCTCCCTCAAAATATAAATAAATAACATCTTTTTAAAATTAAAATAAATATTTACTTTTATTTATGGGAGACAAACAACAATCAGTTGCCTCTCACATGCCCCCAACCGGGGACCTGGCCCACAACCCAGGCATGTGCCCTGACCAGCAATCAAACCTGGCCAGCAATCCAGGCATGTGCCCTGACCTTTTGGTCTGCAGAACGATACCCAATCCACTGAGGTACACCAGTTGGTGCACTAGTCACTTATTTCTGAGTGAGTTAAGAAGAAGCAAACTAAAAGGGACTAGGGAAGTTGCAACAAGATTGTGTACATTGCAGAAGGACTGTGTAAATAGCAGAGGGTCTGTGTAAGCTGAAGAGGGTCTATACAAATCGAAGAAGAATTGTGTTAGAAGGAGCAAAAAGAGAAAGAATTGAGGAGGTGAAAAAAGGGTGAGAAAGGATAAAGGAAAGCTATATACATATTATAGGAAGAAAGGACATTGGGGAAGGAATTCTCGAGAACTGGAAATGGAAATGGAAAAAAAGAAATAAGAAAGAGACCTGACTGCTGTGGCTCAGTAGTTTGGGCATCGTTCTGCAAACTGAAAGGTCACCAGTTCGATTCCTGGTCAGAGCACATTTTCAGGTTGTGTGCCAGGTCCCCAACTGGGAACATGTGACAGGCAACTGATGGGTGTTTTTCTTGCACATCAATGTTTCTCTCCCTCTTTTTCTCCCTCCCTTCCCTTCTCTAAAAATAAATAAATAAAAATCTATTGAGAAAAAAAAGAAAGGCATATAGATAGATGATAAAGCAAAGTCATAATTTCAATGGCAAATGAAAAAGCCAAAAGCTCCCTTTGACTTTCCAAAACCAATTGTTATTTCCCTACAGAAACTGCAGATACAATTGACAGTAGAGAACAAATTAACTGATTTCTTAGTCTGATGTACTTTCATTTGTAATTCCATTATCTTAAAATGTTGTTACAAAAAAGTAAAATTTTTTGTTAATTACATTATAGTCTGATATACAATTATGTCATTTTAAATATGTTTTGTCATTTAGAGACCATCATTG